GGTGCAATTTGGGGGTCCTGGGGTCACTTTGGGGGTCTCTGGGTGGCAATTTGGGGGTCCCAGACACATTTAGGGGGTCCCTGGGTCATTTTGGGGGGTCCCTGAGTCAGTTTTGGGGTTTCCACTGTCAGTTTAGGGTTGGTTTTGATGCCAACTTGAGGCGTCCCGGGCTCATTTTGGGGGCTCTCTGGGTGCAATTTGGGGGTCCTGGGGTCACTTTGGGGGTCTCTGGGTGTCAATTTGGGGGTCTCAGAGTCATTTTGGGGTCTCTAGAGTCATTTTAGGGGTCCCTGGGATCATTTATGGGGTCCCAGAGTCATTTTGGGGTCCCAGGGTTGGTTTGGTGCCAACTTGAGGTGTCCTGGAGTCGTTTTGGGGGCTCTCTGGGTGCAATTTGGGGGTCCTGGGGTCACTTTGGGGGTCTCTGGGTGCAAATTTGGGGATCTCAGACACATTTAGGGGGTCCCTGGGCTCATTTTTGGGGTCTCTGGGTCATTTGGGGGTCCCAGGGTTGGTTTTGGTGCCAACTTGGGGTGTCCCGGGGTTGTTCCAGGGGCTCTCTGGGTGCAATTTGGGGTCCTGGAGTCACTTTGGGGGTCTCTGGGTGCCAATTTGGGGTCCTGGAGTCATTCAGGGGTCCTTGGATCATTTAGGGGGTCCCTGGGGTCATTTATGGGGTCCCAGAGTCATTTTGGGGGTCCCAGGGTGGGTTTTGGTGCCAACTTGAGGCGTCCCGGGGTCGTTCCGGGGGCTCTCTGGGTGCAATTTGGGGGTCTCTGGGTGCAATTTTTGGGGTCCTGGAGTCACTTTGGGGGTCCCTGGATCATTTAGGGGGTCCCTGGAGTCATTTAGAGGGTCCTTGGGGTCATTTAGGGGGTTCCTGGGGTCATTTTTGGGGTCCCAGGGTGGGTTTTGGTGCCAACTTAGGGAGTCCCGGGGTCGTTCTGGGGGCTCTCTGGGTGCAATTTGGGGGTCCTGGGGTCACTTTGGGGGTCTCTGGATCATTTAGGGGGTCCCTGGAATAGTTTTGGGGGTCCTGGGGTCATTTTGGGGGTCCTGGAGTCATTTTGGGGGTTCCAGGGTGGGTTTTGGTGCCAACTTGAGGCGTCCCGGGGTCGTTCCGGGGGCTCTCTGGGTGCAATTTGGGGGTCCTGGAGTCACTTTAAGGGTCTCTGGGTGCCAATTTGGGCATCTCTGGGTCCTTTAGGGGGTCCCTGGGGTCATTTAGGGAGTTCTGGGCTCATTTTGGGCGTCCCTGGGTCATTTTGGGGGTCCCAGGGTTGGTTTTGGTGCCAACTTGAGGCGTCCCGGGGTCGTTCCGGGGGCTCTCTGGGTGCAATTTGGGGGTCCTGGAGTCACTTTGGGGGTCTCTGGGTGCCAATTTGGGGGTCTCTAGATTATTTAGGGTGTCCCTGGGGTCATTTAGGGAGTTCTGGGCTCATTTTGGGGGTCCTTGGGGTCATTTTGGGGGTCCCAGGGTGGGTTTTGGTGCCAAATTGAGGCGTCCCGGGGTCGTTTCGGTGGCTTTTTAGGTGCGATTTGGGGCTCTCCGGGTGCAATTTTGAGCTTTTTGTGTGCAATTTTTGGGGTCCCCCAGCCCCGTGTGGGGTTTTTGGGGTGCCCCCTGACCCGTTTTTCCCCCCCCAGGCCATGGCCCCCCCTCCCTGCAGCCGCTGCCGCTCGCTCCTTCCCTGGCCTCATTTTGGGGGGTCCCTGGGTGCAATTTGGGGGTCCTGGGGTCACTTTGGGGGTCCCTGGGTGCCAATTTGGGGGTCTAAGACACATTTAGGGGGTCCCTGGGGTCATTTTGGGGGTTTCTGGGCTCATTTTGGGGGTCTCAGAGTCATTTTGGGGGTTGCAGGGTTGGTTTTGGTGCCAACTTGAGGCGTCCCGGGGTTGTTTTGGGGGCTCTCTGGGTGCCAATTTGGGGGTCCTGGAGTCACTTTGGGGGTCTCTGGGTGCCAATTTGGGGGTCCCAGACACATTTAGGGGGTCCCTGGGGTCATTTAGGGGGTCTCTGGGGTCATTTTGGGGGTCTCAGAGTCATTTTGGGGGTCCCAGGGTTGGTTTTGGTGCCAACTTGGGGTGTCCCGGGGTCGTTCCAGGGGCTCTCTGGGTGCAATTTGGGGGTCCTGGAGTCACTTTGGGGGTCCCTGGATCATTTAGGGTGTCCCTGGGATAGTTTTGGGGTTCCTGGGCTCATTTATGGGGTCCCAGAGTCATTTTGGGGGTCCCAGGGTGGGTTTTGGTGCCAACTTGAGGCGTCCCGGGGTCGTTCCGGGGGCTCTCTGGGTGCAATTTGGGGGTCCTGGGATCACTTTGGGGGTCCCTGGGTGACAATTTGGGGGTCTAAGACACATTTAGGGGGTCCCTGGGGTCATTTTGGGGGTCCCAGGGTTGGTTTTGGTGCCAACTTGAGGCATCCCGGGGTCATTTTGGGGGCTCTCTGGGTGCAATTTGGGGGTCTCTGGGTGCAATTTTTGGGGTCCTGGAGTCACTTTGGGGGTCCCTGGATCATTTAGGGGGTCCCTGGAGTCATTTAGAGGGTCCTTGGGGTCATTTAGGGGGTTCCTGGGGTCATTTTTGGGGTCCCAGGGTGGGTTTTGGTGCCAACTTAGGGAGTCCCGGGGTCGTTCTGGGGGCTCTCTGGGTGCAATTTGGGGGTCCTGGGGTCACTTTGGGGGTCTCTGGATCATTTAGGGGGTCCCTGGAATAGTTTTGGGGGTCCTGGGGTCATTTTGGGGGTCCTGGAGTCATTTTGGGGGTTCCAGGGTGGGTTTTGGTGCCAACTTGAGGCGTCCCGGGGTCGTTCCGGGGGCTCTCTGGGTGCAATTTGGGGGTCCTGGAGTCACTTTGGGGGTCCCTGGATCATTTAGGGGGTCCCTGGGGTCATTTTGGGGATCCCAGGGTCAGTTTTGGGGTTTCCACTGTCAGTTTAGGGTGGGTTTTGGTGCCAACTTGAGGCATCCCGGGGTCGTTTTGGTGGCTTTTTAGGTGCAATTTGGGGCTCTTTGTGTGCAATTTTTGGGGTCCCCCAGCCCCGTGTGGGGTTTTTGGGGTGCCCCCTGACCCATTTCCCCTCTGTTTCTCCCCCCCCAGGCCATGGCCCCCCCTCCCTGCAGCCGCTGCCGCTCCCTCCTCCCCTGGGCTCGTTTTGGGGGGTCCCTGGGTGCAATTTGGGGGTCCTTGGGTGGAATTTGGGGGTCCTGGAGTCACTTTGGGGGTCTCTGTGTGCCAATTTGGGGGTCCTGGGGTCACTTTGGATGTCCTGCAGTCATTTATGGGGTCCCTGGGGTCATTTATGGGGTCTCAGAGTCATTTTGGGGGTCCCAGGGTTGGTTTTGGTGCCAACTTGAGGTGTCCCGGGGTCGTTTCGGTGGCTTTTTAGGTGCGATTTGGGGCTCTCCGGGTTCAATTTTGAGCTCTTTGTGTGCAATTTTTGGGGTCCCCCAGCCCCGTTTGGGGTTTTTGGGGTACCCCCTGACCCATTTTTCCCCCCCAGGCCATGGCCCCCCCTCCCTGCAGCTGCTTCCTCCTCCCCTGGGCTCATTTTGGGGGGTCCCTGGGTGCAATTTGGGGGTCCTGGGGTCACTTTGGGGGTCCCTGGATAATTTAGGGTGTCCCTGGGGTCATTTAGGGGGTCCCTGGGTCACTTTATGGGGTCTCAGAGTCATTTTGGGGGTCCCAGGGTTGGTTTTGGTGCCAACTTGAGGCATCCTGGGCTCATTTTGGGGGCTCTCTGGGTGCCAATTTGGGGGTCCTGGAATCACTTTGGGGGTCTCTGGGTGCCAATTTGGGCATCTCTGGGTCCTTTAGGGGGTTCCTGGGGTCATTTTGGGGGTTCCTGGGTCAGTTTTGGGGTTTCCACTCTCAGTTTAGGGTTGGTTTTGGTGCCAATTTGAGGAGTCCTGGGCTCATTTTGGGGGCTCTCTGGGTGCAATTTGGGGCTCCTGGAGTCACTTTGGGGGGGTCCCTGGATCATTTAGGGGGTTCCTGGGATAGCTTTGGGGGTCCTTGGGGTCATTTTTGGGGTCTCAGAGTCATTTTGGGGGTCCCAGGGTGGGTTTTGGTGCCAACTTGAGGTGTCCCGGGGTCGTTTTGGGGGCTCTCCGGGTGCAATTTGGGGGTCCTGGAGTCACTTTGAGGGTCTCTGGGTGCCAATTTGGGGGCCCAAGACACATCTAGGGGGTCCCTGGGGTCATTTTGGGGGTCTCAGGATCACTTTATGGGGTCCCAGAGTCATTTTGGTGGTCCCAGGGTGGGTTTTGGTGCCAACTTGAGGCGTCACGGGGTTGTTTTGGGGGCTCTCTGGGTGCAATTTGGGGGTCCTGGGATCACTTTGGGGGTCTCTGGGTGCCAATTTGGGGGTCTAAGACACATTTAGGGGGTCCTTGGGGTCATTTAGGGGGTCCCTGGGGTCATTTTGGGGGTTTCAGAGTCATTTTGGGGTTCCCAGGGTTGGTTTTGGTGCCAACTTGAGGCGTCCCAGGGTTGTTTTGGGGGCTCTCTGGGTGCAATTTGGGGGTCCTGGGGTCACTTTGGGGGTCCCTGGGTGCCAATTTGGGGGTCTCAGACACATTTAGGGGGTCCTGGGGTCATTTCGGGGGTCTTGAGCTCATTTTAGGGGTCCCAAGATCAGTCCATGGGGTCCCAGGGTTGGTTTTGGTGCCAACTTGAGGCGTCCCGGGGTTGTTCCGGGGGCTCTCCGGGTGCATTTTGGGGGTCCTGGAGTCACTTTGGGGGTCTCTGGGTGCAATTTGGGGATCCTGGGGTCACTTTGGTTGTCCTGCAGTCATTTATGGGGTCCCTGGGGTCATTTATGGGGTCTCAGAGTCATTTAGGGGTTCCCAGGTTGGGTTTTGGTGCCAACTTGAGGCGTCCCGGGCTCATTTTGGGGGCTCTCCGGGTACAATTTTGAGCTCTTTGTGTGCAATTTTTGGGGTCCCCCAGCCCCATTTGGGGTTTTTGGGGTGCCCCCTGACCCGTTTTTCCCCCCCCAGGCCATGGCCCCCCCTCCCTGCAGCCGCTGCCGCTCCCAGCCCTCGTCCCTGCTCCGCTCCCGCTCGCTCCTCCCGTTCTGCCGCCGCTGCTTCGTGGCCGCCTTTGAGGCCGAGACCCTTCGGGCCCTGCGGGACCCCCGGGGGACCCCCAGACCCGGCCAGGCCGTGGCCGTGGCGGCCTCGGGGGGCAAAGATTCCACGGTGCTGGCCCACATTTTGTGTAAATTGAACCAAAACCATCAATTTGGGGCTGAGATTGGCGCTGCTCTCCATCGACGAGGGCATCGACGGCTACCGGGAACCCTCCCTGGGGGCCGTCAGGGGTTTTGGGACCACCCTGGGGCTGCCCCTGCTGCTCCTGGGCCACCAAAACCTCTTCGGGGTCACCGTGGACGAGGCTGGAACTGCCCTGGGGGCGGCGCGGAGCCGCTGCACCTTCTGCGGGGTGCTCAGGAGGAGGGCACTGGAGGTGGCGGCCAGGGAGATGGGAGCAGACTGGATAGCCACTGGTGAGCACTGGGAGGGACTGGGGGGCACTGGGAGGGGATTGGGGGGCACTGGGAGGCACTGGGAGGCACTGGGAGCCGCTGCACCTTCTGCGGGGTGCTCAGGAGGAGGGCACTGGAGGTGGCGGCCAGGGAGATGGGAGCAGACTGGATAGCTACTGGTGAGCACTGGGAGGCACTGGGAGGCACTGGGAGGGGATTGGGAGGCACTGGGAGGCACTGGGAGGCACTGGGAGGGAATGGGGCACTGGGAGGCACTGGGAGGCACTGGGAGGCACTGGGAGGCACTGGGAGGCACTGGGACCGCTGCACTTCTGCGGGGTGCTCAGGAGGAGGGCACTGGAGGTGGCGGCCAGGAGATGGGAGCAGACTGGATAGCCACTGGTGAGCACTGGGAGGGACTGGGAGGAGATTGGGGGGCACTGGGAGGCACTGGGAGGGGATTGGGGGGCACTGGGGGGCACTGGGAGCCGCTGCACCTTCTGCGGGGTGCTCAGGAGGAGGGCGATGGAGGTGGCGGCCAGGGAGATGGGAGCAGACTGGATAGCCACTGGTGAGCACTGGGAGGGACTGGGAGGCACTGGGAGGGATTGGGAGGCACTGGGAGGATTGGGGCACTGGGAGGCACTGGGAGGCACTGGGAGCCGCTGCACTTCTGCGGGGTGCTCAGGAGGAGGGCGATGGAGGTGGCGGCCAGGAGATGGGAGCAGACTGGATGGCTACTGGTGAGCACTGGGAGGGACTGGGAGGGGATTGGGGGCACTGGGAGGCACTGGGAGCCGCTGCACGCTTCTGCGGGGTGCTCAGGAGGAGGGCACTGGAGGTGGCGGCCAGGGAGATGGGAGCAGACTGGATAGCCACTGGTGAGCACTGGGAGGGGATTGGGGGGCACTGGGAGGCACTGGGAGGCACTGGGAGGCACTGGGAGCCGCTGCACCTTCTGCGGGGTGCTCAGGAGGAGGGCGATGGAGGTGGCGGCCAGGGAGATGGGAGCAGACTGGATAGCTACTGGTGAGCACTGGGATAAACTGGGAGGGGATTGGGGGGCACTGGGAGGGATTGGGGGGGCACTGGGAGGCACTGGGAGGCACTGGGAGGCACTGGGAGGCACTGGGAGGGACTGGGAGCCGCGATCTGCGGGGGTGCTCAGGAGGAGGGCACTGGAGGTGGCGGCCAGGAGATGGGAGCGGACTGGATAGCCACTGGTGAGCACTGGGAGAAACTGGGAGGGGATTGGGGGGCACTGGGAGGCACTGGGAGGCACTGGGAGGCACTGGGAGGCACTGGGAGGCACTGGGAGGCACTGGGAGCCGCTGCACCTTCTGCGGGGTGCTCAGGAGGAGGGCGATGGAGGTGGCGGCCAGGGAGATGGGAGCAGACTGGATAGCTACTGGTGAGCACTGGGAGGGACTGGGAGGGATTGGGGGCACTGGGAGGCACTGGGAGGGATTGGGGGCACTGGGAGGCACTGGGAGGGATTGGGGGGCACTGGGAGGCACTGGGAGGCACTGGGAGGCACTGGGAGGCGCTGGAGTCTGGGGGTGCTCGGAGGAGGGCGACTGGAGGTGGCGCCAGGGAGATGGGAGCGGACTGGATAGCTGGGGGCACTGGGATGGACTGGGAGGATTGGGGGGCACTGGGAGGGATTGGGGGGCACTGGGAGGCACTGGGAGGCACTGGGAGGGATTGGGGGGCACTGGGAGGGGATTGGGGGGCACTGGGAGGCACTGGGAGGGCACTGGGAGGCACTGGGAGCGCTGCATCTGCGGGGTGCTCAGGAGGAGGGCACTGGAGGTGGCGGCCAGGGAGATGGGAGCAGACTGGATAGCCACTGGTGAGCACTGGGAGGGATTGGGGGGCACTGGGAGGGGACTGGGAGGCACTGGGAGGGGACTGGGAGGGGATTGGGGGGCACTGGGAGGGGATTGGGAGGCACTGGGAGGGCACTGGGAGGGGATTGGGGGGCACTGGGAGGGCACTGGGAGGGGGTGCTCAGGAGGAGGGTGATGGTGTTTGCTGGTGCTCACTGGTGTTGATCGGTGGTTACTGATGTTTACTGGTATTTACTGGTGCTGATTGGTGGTTACTGGTGTTTACTGGTGTTTACTGGTATTTATTGGTGTTGACTGGTAGTTACTGGTGTTTACTGGTATTTACTGGTGCTGACTGGTGCTGACTGTTAGTTACTGGTGTTTACTGGTATTTACTGGTGCTCAGTGCTGCTGACTGGTATTTACTGGTGTTTGCTGGTATTTACTGGTATTTACTGGTGTTTAGTGGTGCTGGCTGGTAGTTACTGGTGTTTACTGGTATTTACTGGTGCTCACTTGCAGTTACTGGTACGTACTGGTTCCTACTGGTATTTACTGGTGTTTACTGGTATTTAGTGGTGCTCGCTGGCGGTTACTGGTACGTACTGGTTCCTACTGGTATTTACTGGTGTTTACTGGTATTTACTGGTGCTCACTGGTGTTTACTGGTCCTTACTGGTGCTTACTGGTGCTTACTGGTCCCCCAGGGCACAACCTGGACGACGTGGCCGAGACCGTTCTGATGAATTTCCTGCGCGGGGACGTCGCCCGCCTGCGCCGCGCGGCTACTGGGGACACCAGTGAGGATACCAGTAACACCAGTAACACCAGTGACACCAGTGAGACCAACAGGGACGTCGCCCGCCTGCGCCGCGCGGCTACTGGGGACACCAGTGACACCAGTGGGGACACCAGTAACACCAGTGAGGCTACTGGGGACACCAGTGAGACCAGTAACACCAGTGAGGCCACCAGTAACACCAGTGAGACCAGTGAGACCAGTGAGACCAACAGGGACGTCGCCCGCCTGCGCCGCGCGGCGCATGAGGCCACCAGTGACACCAGTAACACCAGTGACACCAGTAACACCAGTGAGGCCAACAGGGACACCAGTGAGACCAGTGGGGCCACTGGGGACACCACCGGGGACACCAGTAACACCAGTGAGACCAGTGAGGCCACCAACAGGGACACCAATAGGGACAATGGGGACACCACTGGGGACATCGCCCGCCTGCGCTGCGCGGTGCACAAGGCCACCAGTGACACCAGTCAGACCAATCAGACCAGCGAGACCACCAACAGGGACACCAGTGAGACCAGTGAGGCCACTGGGGACACCAGTAACACCAGTGAGACCAGTGAGGCCACTGGGGACACCAGTGGGGCCGCTGGAGCCACCAGGAAGGTTCCTCCACTCTTGTCAACCGTTGAGGACCCAACTGGAGTCTCCGGCAACTCAACGGGACCCGACGGAAACTCAACGGAATTGAACCCAAATCCAACGGAATTCAACCCAAATCTGATGGAATTGAACCCAAACCCAACGGAATTGAACCCAAATCCAACGGAATTCAACCCAAACCCAACGGAATTGAACCCAAACCTGATGGAATTGAACCCAAACCCAACAGGATTCAACCAAAACCCAACAGGACCCAACGAAAACTCGTCAGGAATCACCAAAAACTCAACAGAACTCAACAAGAACCCAACAGGACCTGACAGAAACTCAACAGAACTCATCCAGAACCCACCAGAACTCATCCAGAACCCATCAGAACTCATCCAGAACCCACCAGAACTCAACAAGAACCCATCAGAATTCAACTCCAACCCAACCCAACCTGCCAAAAACCCAATGAAACCCCCCGAGAACCCAACGAGCTCCTTCAAGAACCAAATGAAACCCAACAACGACCCAACCAAACCCTTTGAGAACCCAACAGAACCCATCAAGAACTCAACAGAACCCAACAACGACCCAACCAAACCCTTCAAGAACCCAACGGAACCTGCCAAGAACCCAACCAAACCCAACAACGACCCAGCCAAACCCTTCAAGATCCCAACGAGCTCTCTCAAGATCCCAACCAAACCCCTTGAGAACCCAACGAGCTCCTTCAAGAACCCAATGAGCTCCCCCAAGACCCCAACCAAACCCTTCAAGATCCCAACCAAACCCCCCAAGATCCCAACCAAACCCCCCAAAAACCCAACGAGCTCCCTCAAGAACCCAACGAGCTCTTTCAAGATCCCAACCAAACCCCCCAAGACCCCAACCCGTCCCCCCAAGACCCCTCCCCAGGCTCCCCCCCTGCCGTGGGCGGGCCGTCTGAAGCCCCTCCGGCACGCGGCGCAGCGGGAGGTGGTGCTGTACGCGCGCTTCCTGGGCCTGGCCTACGCCAGCGCCGAGTGCCGGCACGCCCCGCTCGCCTTCCGCGCCCACGCCCGGGGGCTGCTCAAGGAGCTGGAGGCCGCCCGGCCCGCGGCCGTGCCCGCCCTGGCGCACTCGGGGCGCCGCCTGGCACTGGGGGGGGGGTCAGGGGGCAAGGGGAGCCCCCCCAGGGCGTGCGGGCGCTGCGGGGCCGTGGCCAGCGCGGAGCTCTGCTTGGTGTGCGCGATGCTGGGCGGGCTGCGCAGGGGCAGGGCCCAGGGTGGGCCTGGGGAGGGAGCAGGGGCTACTGGGTTGAGGGAGTGGTGGCCACCAGGAGGAGCAGGGGGCTACTGGGAGGGGGGCAGTGGAGATGGGGGTGGAGGTGGCAGTGGTGGCCACCAGCAGGGGCAGGGGGGCTACTGGGTTGAGGGTGGTGGAGGTGGCAGTGGTGGCCACCAGGAGGGGCAGGGGGGCTACTGGGTTGAGGGCGGTGGAGATGGGAGTGGAGATGGCAGTGGTGGCCACCAGCAGGGGCAGGGGGGCTACTGGGAGGGGAATGGTGGCCACTGGGAGGGAATGGGGAGTGCGGGCTTGAGGGTGGTGGAGGTGGCGACAGTGGCCACCGGGAGAGGAGTGGTGGCCACTGGGAGAGGAGTGGTGGCCACCAGCAGGGTCTTGGAGATGGGGGTGGTGGCCACGGGGTTGAGGGTGGTGGAGATGGCAGTGGTGGCCACCAGGAGGGGCATGGTGGCTACTGGGAGGGGAATGGGGACTACGGGGTTGAGGGTCACGGAGGTGGCAGTGGTGGCCACGAAGGAGGGAATGAGTGGTCACTGGGAGGAAGGGGGTGCTGGGAGGGAAGGGGGACTGGGTTAAGGGTGATGGAGGGAGTGGTGGTGGCCACCAGGATGGCTGTGGTGGCCACTGTGAAGGAGATGGTGGAGATGGCAGTGGTGGCCACTGGGAGGGGAATGGGGGATACTGGGTTGAGGGTGGTGGAGGTGGCGGTGGTGGCCACCAGGAGGAGAGTGGTGGCCACCAGGAGGGAGCAGGGGCTACCGGGAAGGGGAAAGGAGGGACTACGTGGTTTGGGATGAGTGGTGGAGGTGGCGGTGGTGGCCACCAGGAGGGTCTTGAAGATGGCAGTGGTGGCCACTGGGAGAGGGGTGGTGGCCACCAGGAGGGGCAGGTACTGGGACGGGAACAGGAGCTGGGAGGGATGGTGAATGGGGGTGATACCATGGGTTGAGGGTGGTGGAGAGGGGTGGTGGCCACCGGGATGGGTGTGGTGGCCACCAGGAGGGGAACAGGGGCTACTGGGTGGAGGGTGGTGGAGGTGGCGGTGGTGGCCACCAGGAGGAGGAGTGGTGGCCACCAGGAGGAGCAGGGGGCCTACTGGGAGGGGAAGGGGGCTACTGGGGTTGAGGGTGGTGGGGATGGCAGTGGTGG